TGTGGATGCACATGCACTGCTGGCTCTACGGAGGACCATCATTCAACATGGCGCGACTTCTAAGGGATAAGTGAACGCCATTCGACCATTGAAAGGTCAGCAGATAATGTATCACTCGGCCGCGCGGAACAACGAAGGAGGCGAGGGATATTAATTGTACTTTCGAATGCCAGTTGCGCAAAGGCACTCACTTTCGATCCCTAGGATGAATTTATCGCCGAAGCTGAATAGTAAATCCGTAAGACTAACCACTGCCGCCAAAGACAATGAAAATTACATTCAGTAAAAGTCGTTCAACTTTTTTGTATCTATGATCATTACTATTTCATAATTAGAGTGGTTGTGTTGTTTGCATGTTGATGTGCGTTACGATGACTAAGGCTGCAAGCCGAACAAGTGGGTAGTTCACAGGAAGGCTGGATGACTCCACTACACACTTCCATATGCCGAAAACTCAATTGCTTCGAATAGTCTACTTCGCACTTGTGATTGGCCCATCAGACAAAACTATTGTCGAAGCGTTACCATAGCCTGAAAGAACTTAAACATTTGCAGCACAGGTAAAATAGCAATGGAGAAGAAAACTTTTTCAAGCCTTGGTACGTCGGCCTTCATGGTCTAGAGCCATTGTGGCACACCTTTTTCACAAAGTGCATTGTGCGGCGATCTCTGTCACCGTATTATCAGCTCGGTAGAGTTGTATTTTAATTTTTCTTTAAGCTTGCATCCACAGCTCCGTGATCACCATTGCGTGTAGTCTTCCATTTTCCTCACAAGAAGTAGTACTCAACTCTAGGCTTGCTACGAAGGGTATGTGACTTGACGATGGCTCCAACCCGGACCCTGACGCTTCTGACTTCAACGTTCAACGGACAGCCAATCCCGACAGATTGCAAGACAGCAAAGCCAATATCGATATATTACACAATAAGCGATAATAACTGCACAAAGAAGTTGCATATGTCCTCAGAGATGCCTGTAAATTTTGGTAAAAGTGAAATGGCTAAATGTTGTAGAAATTTTATTCGTTTCAACAAGTGATAGATCTCTGTCAGCAGTGCAGACTTTGAAAAGCACTCATTTCACATTTCGCAAAAGAAAATATTTTTCACACTAGAAAGCAGTTTCAGGCACAACCGCCTAAACGCGTTCAATCGCATGGCTATCGCAATAACGGTTCGTCAGGCAGTAATGTCATGTTTATTGGAAACACACTGCATCGAGCAGTAAGAAGATAGTTTACTGTTGACCTAACCTACATTAAGTTTAAATTATTTGAACAATTACGGACTTTTTCTCTATTTGCATAATCACCAGCTTTGGTAGTGGCGGTAAAGCTGTTCCAATTGTGAATGAAACCAGTGGTAGTGGAAATCGAACGTCTAGTTTACATCAGAAAAAGAAGCACGGTCGCGATATAAGCAGCCCTCGAGGGAATCCTCAAGTCAAATTAAATTGAACCAGTGCTAAGACAGACGCCTTTCTGCATGCCTTTCGCCAAAACTTTCTCAGTCCCTTCCTGATTCTCCAGTTGGTGAAGAAGTAAATGGGCAATCTCAGAGAAGCGTTTAGCGACGTGAGAATGCTGACCACGTCGGTAGAGAAAGAGTAAAACTCTTGATGCGACAGCAAGTACTGTTGATCAACGTGTTCCCAAATGGTCATGATGACGTTAAGCAGGTTGCTGATCAGGTACGTGGTGACAATAGCGATTAGCATGCGGCGGGCAGTGCTAGTGCTGTGCCTTATTTCTGAGTACGGCTTCTTGATGGCGGTCGACGACCCTCGCGCCACTTTCTTCCAGCCGACGCTGATCAGCACGTTGGCTATGACCAGAATGGTGAACGGAAAGAATATCTGAAACAAGTGGACCAGCCACAGTTGATAAATCTTGCGATAGTAATAGTTTTGCGCCAGCGGGGTCAGATCTAGAGCTTCCGACGCGAAGCCGGTGCAGCCTGGTCGAGTCACTAACTCAACCTCCCAGATGGAGATGATCCGGAACAAAATGCTCAGCATCACGATGAACGTAATGTTGATATAACGCTGACGGTGAGTGACGTTGATGAACACTTTCTTCCGTCTGACTTGAATCACTTCCAAGTACCGTTCCAGGGAACAAAACACGATCAAGTAACTGGAAGCGACCGTGACGATGCGACTGAATGAGTACAGGTACGGTACGTAACGCAGCCACACGTGGTACAGGAATTCCCATTCGAAGTAGTCGATCATGATTTGTGGCGGGAAGATCATAACAT